CCATTCCCCTCAATCCCTCACTCTCTGTCCCCCATTCCCCTCAATCCTACACTCTCTGTCCCTATTTCTCAATCTTTTCAAGGATTTATCCTGCTAGACCTTTGACTGACTTTCTGACCCACTATCACACTGCAGCCTGAATGTGAAACGTTCACTGTGCAGGGGTGTTTCAGTTCTTTTTCATTCTGTGATCACCTCCTAACTAAATTCTCCGCGTGTCAACTCTTGCAACCATCGAGCCCAGTTCCTATACCAACTGAACTCTAGTCCAGCCTTGCTCCAATCTCCTTTACGTTGTCTCTGTTTAGGACAGACTTGCTCAGACATATAGGGCCGTTTTAGTGTTGTGTACAGTGACCCAAGGCTACAAATACAACATTGCACACCAGCACACCAGTCACTGTTGACAGTTCGGGATGTGACAGGGTATTGGGAAGACTCTGCACAGTCAGAATCTGCAGTGCACCATAGTCGATCTGCAAAGTACCAGGAGCAGGAAGAAGGGGTGTATGATGCCAGGCAGATGACAGATAATAATACAGGAAATTAATGCTCACACTGAGCTAGCAATGCTGCTGCAGATACCTACAGTCACTTAAACTAGACTCCCACTGCATCGCTCACTCAATACTCTAACTGACTGATGGCAAAGGTGCTAGTGAAGCTCTGAGCACCAGCGCTGAAAGAATCCACACTTACAGTGGGCACTCACAAAACCCCAAGCTCTGACCGAACAAGTGGCGAAGTCACTTAAAGGCAGGTTCAGGCTTGGCTTGGTAATGCCAATGCAGTCAAATAGCTCCCCCACCACCATCGCTCCTCACCACTTCAGCTGGTGGTGACTTGTTTAAAGGAAGCTCATGTTTCCCACAGTCAAAGCCTCAGCTCCCGACGCGAAATTATCAAACAAACTCCAGGTTAAAAACTACTCTGTAAATTCACTTGCAATGATTCCGAGCAGCAGGGTGTCACTGAGCCCAGGGGTAGGGGAGGAAGACTTACCGAACTCTGCAGTAACCAAACACAAGAGCAGAAAACACCGTAAAGAGCTGGGGTCACCCATCCTGCACCTGTCAAGAGGGAAACAAGCAGATCGAGTTTTGCCTGGTCTGGTGGCTCCCTCTCAGTCTCTGCTTCCTGATTCTGCAGGACCGGCTGTTTGTTCGAACTTGCAAAGTGAGGAGGAGTAGGAGGAGGAGCAGTGTCAATTGTGCAAGGAAAGGATAATGTTTTAGTCGGAGTGCTGGAGATGACAGTCACAAACTTTCATAAGAAAAGCTGCAAGTTCAGATGGCAACATTCAATTTAGGGACGCAATCAGGTCTGTTCTGATGTCGTTACGCATTAAATTGTGGCCCTGAGATAACAAGGTGCAGAGCTGGATGAACACAGCAGGCCAAGCAGCATCAAAGGAGCAGGAAGGCTGACGTTTCGAGCCTAGACCCTTCTTCAGAAATGGGGGAGGGGAAGGGGGTTCTGAAATAAATAGGGAGAGAGTGGGAGGCGGATAGAAGAGGGATAGAGGAGAGGATAGGTGGAGAGGAAACAAACAGGTCGAAGAGGCGGGGATGGAGCCAGTAAAGGTGAGTGTAGGTGGGGAGGTAGGGAGGAGATAGGTCAGTCCAGGGAGGACGGACAGGTCAAAGGGGGCGGGATGAGGCTGGTAGGTAGGAGGTGGGGGTAGGGCTTGAGGAGGGGATAGGTGGGAGGAAGGACAGGTTAGGGAGGCGGGGACAAGCTGGACTGGTTTTGGGATGTGGTAGGGGGAGGGGAGATTTTGAAACTTGTGAAATCCACATTGATACCATTGGGCTGCAGGGTTCCCAAGCTGAATATGAGTTGCTGTTCCTGCAACCTTCGGGTGGCATCGTTGTCGCACTGCAGGAGGCCCAGGATGGACATGTCATCTGAGGAGTGGGAGGGGGAGTTGAAATGGTTTGCGACTGGGAGGTGCAGTTGTTTAGTGTGAACCGAGCATTTTTTGGACAAGGACCTTCCGGCTCCCCCACCCCGTGACATTGCTGGCTGCTTGCCCCATCAGCTCGGTCCCCTCTCATAGTCATACAGCACAGAAACAGACCCTTCGGCCCAACTAGTCCATGCCCACCACAATCCCAAACAAAACTAGTCCCACCTGCCCATATCCCTCCAAACCTTTCCTATTCACCTCCTTATCCAAATGTCTTTTAATTGTTGTAGCTGCACCCGCATCCACCAGTTCCTCAGGAAGTTCATTCCACACATGAACTAACCTGTGTGTAAAAAAACTTGCCCCTCATGAGTTTTTGAAATCTCTCTCCTCTCATCTTAAAAAAAAAGGGTCCCCTAGTCTTGAAATCTCCCATCCTGGGGAAAAGACAGCTACCATTAACTCTATCCCTCATTATCGTACGAACTCCTATCAGGTTGCTTCTCAACCTCCTATGCTCCAGTGAAAAACGTTCCAGCCTACCCAGTTTTTCTTTGTAACTCACACCTTCCATATCCGGCAACATGAGAATCATAGAATCCTTACAGTGCGGACAGAGGCCATTCGACCCATCAGGTCTGCAGCGACCCTCCAAAACGCATTCCACCCAGATTTACTATCCACACCTTATCTCTGTCAGCTCATCCAGTGACCCGTAACTGCCTCTCCACAAGGCAGGGGAATGAGTCATGGGCTCACAGAGTCATAGAAACAGACCCTTCTATCCATGCTGACCAAGTTTCCCAAACTGAACTTATCCCATGTGCCTGCATTTGGCTCACATCCCTCTAAACCTTTCCTGCTCTTGTACCTGTCCCAATGTCTTTTAAATGTTGAAACTGAACCCGCATCTACCACTTCTTCTGGCAGCTTGTTCCACCAGAGAAACTCTGTCGTTTGAGGAGGTTTCAAGCCCTGAGCTGTAGCAACAAGGGCAGGAGCGCACTCAGGTGAGGGAAATGAAGCGAAGTGGTGCCAGATGTTGGATTCTCCTGGATTTTGGACGTCCCACCTGTGCAGTGCTTGAAACGGACGGAAACAAAGAGTGGGAATTCCGCATTCCATGAGAGGAAAAGCTGGACACAGGGCAAGCGAAGGAAGGAAAGCAGGAGCTGATGGGGGAAAGAGAAAGTCTCCATTTCAGACACTGAACTAGGAAGAGCACCCAGGTCTAGAGTGGCACATTTTCAAACATGGCTGCTCTTTTTCCACCTGCATGTATGCCCATGTATGTGTCAGTCATTCTTTGATTTGGTGTACCTATGTCTTTTCTTGTGTTACAATTCTTTTAAACTTTCCTGGTTTACCTGCCATTTTCCCCACATGGAATGGGGGATTGGGGATGCTTGGAAGAGAGTGAGAGAAAAGGAGAGAAGGTGGCTTCCATCTTGCAGCTTTTGGCTGTTTTCAGATGCCTTGACACTTCAAGCCATTTAACACTGTGCAGCTGAACCAGTCAGAGGGCTGTCACTGGGCATGATTTCCTTCACTGATCAGACTCTCAGGGCCACTTGGCTTCACATTCCCTCCCTCACCTTGGAAAGGAACACCGTCTGGCACAGCCTCAAACAATGCAGCACCCCAGCTTGGCCAAAGTCTCAGGGTGTGTCAGCGATATAGGCAGCCATTTCAGATGACCAGTCCCCAAAAAGAGACCAAGAAATGGCCTCTGACAGAGGCAAGCTGTGAATCGACGAGAGGGGCCAGTGAGGGGTTGCAGCAGGTTGGGAGGATGGGGGGTGGTGAGGCTATTGTGGGGAATTTGACCATGAAAAGGATCCTCGCAGCGTTGAGATGTCACCTGATGGGCAGTCACAGTAGGTTGGGCCAGGGCCTGATGGGACTGGGCAGGACTAGGACGTGGATTTGGATGAGTTGCTGGTGATGGGAGACTGGTGCAGCTCGGTTGCAGATTGTAAGTACATGAATTCACTGGGTGAACCTCCACCTCCAAGAACGATGATGTTTTACCTGCCATGCTCTGTCTCACAGCAATACACCTGGAAGGGACACACTCATGATATTATCACTGTGTCGCGGTCTGTGATCTGAGACGAGAAAGATCTCGGTCCCCATCTTACTGAGAGCACCAGGAGCTGGTGTTAACGTCAACTAAATCTTTCAGCACAGCCTTACTCACCGCCAGTTCTGAAGATACAGGAGCGAGGTTAAGTATCAGAGAGAAATATACTGCTGAAAGTAAACAGCCCAGCATTGGACATGCTGCAGATCGTGAGGGCAAGACTGATTGGAATCAACAGCAGTTTATAAAAGAAGCAATTCCCTGATATGACTGGATGTTAAGGTGAGATTTCGTTCTGTTGTGTCGTAGCTTCATTGGGTCAGTGCATTGAGTCCAGGGGTTGGGAGGTCATGTTGCACTGTACAGGATATTGGTCGGGCCACTTTTGGAATACTACGTCCAATTCTGGTCTCCCTGCTATCGGAAAGATGTTGTGAAACTTGAAAGGGTTCAGAAAAGATTGCTGTGGTTGGAGGGTTTGAGCTACAGGGAGAGGCTGAAGAGGCTGGGGCTATTTTCCCTGGAGCATCGGAGGCTGAGGGGTGACCTTAAAGAGGTTTATAAAATCATGAGGGGCATGGATAGAATGAACAGCCAAGGTCTTTTTGCTAGGGTAGGGGAGTCCAAAACTAGAGGGCATAGGTTTAAGGTGAGAGGGGGAAAGATTTAAAGGGACCCGAGGGGCAACCTTTTCATGCAGAGGGTGGTGTGTGTGTGGAATGAGCTGCCAGAGGAAGTGGTGGAGGCTGGTACAATTACAACATTTAAAAGGCATCTGGATGGGTACATGAACAGGAAGGGTTTAGAGGGATATGGGCCAAATGCTGGCGAATGGGACTAGATTAATTTAGGATATCAGGTCGGCGTAGACGAGTTGGACCGAAGGGTCTGTTCCTGTGCTGTACAGCTCTACGCCTCTATGAATCACACAGTACACGAAAGGCCCTTCAGCTCAGTGAGTTTTCCCTGGCAAAAAACTACTTTAAATCTACACTTGGCCCACTTTCCAGCACTTGGCCCCCAGCCTTGAATGTTGTGACATTTCAAATGCTGGTCTGTCTCCTTTATAAAGATTGTGCGGTTTCCTTCCTGTCAATACTAGACATTCCATGGGCAGGTGATAACAGGCAGAGTGTTTTGATGTATCCTTGAAACTCTGAATTGAAGCCCTAAGATCACGGAATCCCGAGAGTATGGGCAGAAGCGCAGCGCCCTGCGATTCTCCGAATCTGAGTTCAGCGATGCTGCGGGCGATTTAAACATTCTTACATACAAAACAAGTTATCCTGGTCGTTGTCTCTCCTCCAAATCTTGAATTTTAAAAGATACAAGTGGGTGGAGGAAATTAACCCATGCAGGACAAGCCTTTGAATGTGGGAAACCACCAGAGAATGCAAGCTGATGTGTGGGGAATATAAGCAAAAATTCTCACAGAAACAGAGATATTAGGAGCAGGAGTTGACCATTCTGTCCTTCGAGCCTGTTCCACCAGTCAATAGGATCATGGCTGATCATCCAACTCAGCCCCATTTTCCTGATGTCTCCCCCCCCCATATCCTTTGATCTCTTTCGCCCTAAGATCATAGAATCCATAAAGTGTGAGCAGAAGCCATTCAGCCCACATAGCACTCTGAAGAGCATCCCAATCCCTGTGTTTCCCATGGCTAACCCACCTAGTCTGCACATCCTTGGACACTGTGGGCACTTTCCCAAGGCCACATCTTTGGACTGTGGGAGGAAGCCGGAGCGCCCGGAGGAATCCTATGGAGAATGTGCAAACTCCACACACCTGAGGCTGGAATCGAACTCGGGTCCCTGGTGCTGTGAGGTAGCAGTACTAAGTGTGGAGCCACTTGTGCTGCCTTAACTCTGAACCATATCTAACACCTTCTTGAAAATATTCAATGTTTTGGCCTCAGCTGCTTTCTGTGGCCAAGAATTCCACAGGCTCACTACTCCCTGGATGAAAACATTCCTCCTCATCTCAATCCTAAATGGCCTCCCCAGTAATTTTAAACTGTGACCCCTGGTTCTGGACTCCCTGGTCATTCGGAACATTCTTCCTGTGTTGGCCCTATGCAGTTCTGTGGGAGTTTTGATGGTTTCTATGGGATCTCCCCCATCCTCCCCTCATTCTTCTCAGGTTTTTGTTCTCAGAAGGGGACCCCTCTGGGGAAGGCAGGTTCACAAAGGTGAGGAACACAGCAGGGACCCAGAACCCACTGAGGCACGACCTCAAGCAAATATTGTCCGCGCACACAACACTGATACATCCTCCTTGTGTGTGGAACAAAGCTGTTGCTCAACGTGTCTTTACACTCAAAGTGCCCTCCTTCCCACCTCCAG